ACCTGTGTCTCCATGTATTACTTCCAACGGCAACACACGAGATAAACAAGAGCAGCGAGCTACTGCCCTGACTGCAAGTTCATTATACAGTGGCTGGGATCTCCACTCCAGCTTTCTAGAAAGGAGAGAGGGGAAAAAAACCACCCCACCAAACCATGCATGCTGCAAGTTGCTTTTTCTGCTGCGAACAGCGAGCACTGGTCATGGGAGCTTAGGAGTTGTTGCCAGAGCGCAGCCCCGTTTGGCCACAGAAGCCTGTTACTGCAGGAGCTGGAAAACTGCTGCTCCAGGTGCCCCACAGCCACCTCTGCTCGGCACACTTGGGCAGAGCTGGTTTTTAGGAAGTTTTCTCCTTATTCCTTCATATAGCACCATCAATCGCAGCTGATCAGCAGCTTCCTATTGCTGCAGAGTTGCTGGAAATTGTCCCTCCCTGGCTGCTGCAGCAAGGCAGGAGGTAAACAAGCAGTGTTTCTTAGTTCTGGTTGTAAAGTCTGCAAAGAAATCCAGAGGTCTGAGATAACTACGGATACTGCAGAGCAAGAAGGAAGAGGGCGCATGAGAAGGAAGGGGTGGGGTGCCGGGATGCGGGATATGAATAAGATACTCGCATTTCATCAGTTTCTATAGTTAAATAATTCATTCCCAAGAACTTCAGGTAAAGTGGTAATATTGGTTAAATTAATGTCATCTCATACTCTCCCACTTACCACCAGTTAGAGACAGGGCAGAGGAAGGGGATGCACAAGGCTGGCTGCTGGCTCTGGCACACTTCCCATTGAGGTATTTAATCTCAGCTTCGGTCTTGCTCACAGCACACATATTAATGACACTCGTTAGAGTAACGTTAGTTGTTCTGGCAGCCCAGACACACCTCCCACCCCTACCGACAGTAGATCCTTCTGGTGCCCAAAGTTTGTCAGGCTGCAGCTTTACTGCTGTACCTCCACACACATTGTTCAGCAGGGCTGTAACACACGTGCTGACACCACGCGACTTTTTAAACAGGGCAGAACGGTACAAGATATTTAAGATGGGGGAGTCACCTTACGGAGCTGCAAAGCTACCTCAGGGCTTGTATTTCCCACCACAAGCAAATCCTTGGCCTTTCAAGGAAACCCTTCAAAACTCCGTTCCTCAAGGCAAGGAAATAATCACCCTGAACAGTCGAGGCAGAACGTGTCATCCTCTGCAGAGCCCATTCCAATCCCAAAACAGAAGGCTGGGAGCTGTTACCATCTTCCACAGGATGAAGATGGAGTTAAGGCATCTCTTACAAGCGTGCAGGAATTAGATCAGCAGCCCAACATAAAGTAATTTAAATAAAGATGTTTCTATCTTACTATTTTCATGCTTTTCATTATTTTACTGCTTTAAAAAGAGCAATTCCACCATTTCCCCCATCTCCTCATCAGTCCTTGATTTTTCTCCTATAACCATTCCTAGATACACAGATGCTTTTTTTAAAGCTAAAATGACTGCCAGGACAAAGTGTTTAACACATTTTTAAATGCAAAGTCTGGATCAGGAGTGACATAAGGTATATATATATATTAAAAAAAAGAAAAAGCAACACTGAATTCTAAGAAACTTATGCTTTTGTTGATCTTGAAACCGCCTCTCCTATTGTTGCTTATGCACCAGGAAAAAATAGGTTGTGGGTAGAAATTTAACTTAAACCAATGGGAAACAGAAAAATTATAGAATTTGAATAATCATGGTCTAAGAATTAAAGATGATTTAAGTGATCTGGAGTGACCATTGCAAAGAAGAAGAAAGTCCAGGTCAGCAGCTGTTTCTCTGCACAAATGGATCTCTTCGAGTCATTTATCCCACCTACCTCAAAACAACAAAACAAAGCACTTCACTGCTGTTGAGCTCCTTTTTAGGAGACTGGCCTCTATAGATGAAGGTTTTACAAAAGACCCAGGTACTAGTACTGCAACTTTGGCAAAGTTTAAGATTCAGGAATAGTGTGAAAAAATAACCTTAAGAACAGCTGAATTCTCAATTATTTTGGAACAACCTTTACAATAAAATTATCTCCAATCAAAATCAGTTTAATGCCCCTTTTTTTTTTTCTCCTCCCCAGAGTCCAAGATTAAAAAAAAAATTCCATAATGGAAAAAACCTTCTTGCCACTCTCCCTCTCCTGGAATTATTACATACTCCCCTACTGGTACTTGTAGCCCAAAGCACAACAAATGGATACTGATCCTCCCTCATCGAGATGAGAAACACAGACACATCAATGACATCAGGGTGTGGGTTTTTTTAAACGCTTTTCCATTTTTATAATAATTTTTTGCTACACAGGTAAGAAGATTTATACAATAAAATTTTCAACTGAAAATACTTTTTCCCAAGAGTGGAGCAAGCAATAACTGCCATGTGTGCATTTCACAGTACATCACTATCTAGGACAAAGATGGAAAATACCACAACTAAGGTGAGACCCTCTCCTCTGCTTATCTGCTGGCCAATCTCATTCCATAGCCATGGAAGAGTTTTCTGCACAGGTCCTTGCAAACGAGCTCACAAATCAAACCTCTACAACTTATAGGTTCCACAAAGACATCTCCCTCCCTGCAAGACGGTAACAAGACTACTTCAGCAGAGTTTCCTCAGTAGTTCAACTATTTAACACGTGGTCACGAAGCTCTACAGACAGGCACACAGGTACAGAGGTCAGTACTGTAACACAGAGTCAGTCTACACGCATAGATGTGGATCGCTTCGAGTCTCTGCTACACCTCTGAAGGGGGACACTGACTAATTGTCTCTGCTTGAAGTCCCTCGGAACCGAGGCAGCACATACCACAAGCTGCTGGCAGCCTTGGAGCACGACCTGGAACACACGAGGGTAATACTGATATTCCTGCACTACTTGCCTTCCCCTCCCTCCCCAAACCAGACTGGCAAGCACAGCACGACCCCAACGCAGTAACTTGGTAAGCTAACGTTTACAAGCTGACTCGATAGCACCTTCCTCCAGCACAGCGCACACTGACTGGGTTCTTCCCGCAGCAAGGAAAGGCAGAGGCATTTTCGGCAGAGGTCCGTTCCTGTGGGCACACGGCTGGCATGCCTGCTCCTGCCCCTGTTCTTTCAAGAGGGAACTGTGGTTTGTTTCAAAGAACCTCGTCATCTTTTACCAAAGGCGAAAGCTACCCCTCCCTTCCGAGAACAATGGCTTCAATGACAATTAAGTCCAAAAATCCAGGCCCAGCACCTCAGTCATTGCTTTGCCTTCTTCACAATGGTACCAACAGCCGAAATGACTGTAGTTTTGGAGCCACTTGCGCTGGTTGTCACGGTGACAACGCCAGGCAGCGTTGCAGTAGTGGTGAGGATGGTGGGCTGAGCTATCGTTGTTACAGGGATGGCTGAGTCCCACTTGCTCTTCCTCTTCTGGGCATCTGTGAACACAATTAGATGAGGTAAATGAGGATTAGTATTATGTTAAAGGTCACCAATTCCTCTGTAACATTGTCTTGTCAACTTTTGATACACCATTGCTTGACTACACAACTTGCCCTCACACTAATTTCAGCATACGCCGGCAGTAACTAACTTTCCACCTCAAGAGCCACAGCTGAAGGAGAGGTTCCCTCCCTGCTCCAAGGCATATTTAATTTTAACAGAGCACACTTCTCAGTTGCTCAGGTACAGGCACAGGACACACTCATCAGCCTCCAGTGTTTTTAATTCCTTCCTCTCAGTTTAAAAGGCAGGCTGTAGGCAGGAGAATGATTTTCAGTCTTCCAAACTTCAGTCCCAAGAACACTCTGCAACCATAAACGTCAGCAAGTTTCCTGACCCGCTAATAAACCTCTTCACTATCCAATCAGTCTCCTAAGCTTTTGTTGCAGAAGGAGTGACATGGGATACAGTGACTAGAGAACAGTCAGTCCATCTGCTCCTGGAAGGAACGCTACAGACATTATACACAGTCAGGAGCCCTCAGGGTTTCCAGGAAGCACTAATCCCAGCATTGCTGCAGCTTAATATGTACAATCACAACTGTTCTTTACCTCCCACAGTCGTACTGGCTGTTGTGGTTGTTGTAGAAGCAGCACTTGTTGTTGTACCCTTTTTAGTGCCAGTCACAAACTCAATCTGGGAAGGGAGAAAAGGGAGAAGATAAAAATGAAATGTTAATACACAGAGTCTTTTTTTAACTCACATCACTTCTCTGTTTTTAAGAGCAGGTTTAATGTCATGCAAGACACTGGCCTCCAAGCCAAGTGTCATGCAGGAAAAAAAGATGGAGACCTCAGGCCAAAGCATGCTGAAGCCATGACCATTAAGGATTCCTGCAGCTAACTCCTAAGTCAGATACAATAAAAATGAATTTGTCAACTGCTATAAAAGTAAGAATTTGACATAGCTCAGAAAGGACTGATCGCAGTCATTAAAGAATGTATTTATACAGTTAGAAAGTCCAGCTCTTTTTCCTTTAAGAAACACGCAAGACAAGTCCCTACCTGCATGATTTACTGCAACTGCATCATAGCAGGAAACCTAGCACTGAGAGCTACGACAGCATGCAGTCTCATATTTTCAAAACTGCAGATATGGGCAAGGGTCCTTACGTAATCAGATGCCTGGGGTACTGTGCAAAAAAACAAGCAGCAAGACACAGCATGCACTGCAAGAAAAAAAGAAAACAAAAAAACAAACCACCACCTCCACAAACTGAATATGGAAGGAGCCTTCTGCAAGGTTAGGTGGCAATCTCGACCTTTAGACAGTTTTCTAATGCCAGCTACTAGCTTGAAGGCAACACTGAAGGACAGGAATAAAATCTTCCAAAGCGTGTCTGTGTTCTTCTTGGGGCATACATCAGAAACTACACTTTGCAACAAGCCCAGTTAAAATTAAAATAGGCTTAAAATTTCTGGAAAGGAGATGCAAGGAGGCAATATCAAGGAGAACAGAAAGCAGATACTGTCTCACAACGAGATAAAGTGAGGAAATTAAGCTATAACTAGGCTACGCCACCAGGCAAATTGTCATGGATTAAGAAAAAACACCTTTATGTGCTACCTTGCCTGTATCTGCCTTACTGAATACCACTTTAAGAGCTCTGGTTTAAAAATAATGACAAAACAGGAGGAAATCTAGTGGAATAAACAACCTAGAGAAATGAACCTATAAGGGGGGGGGGGCAAGTAACTTGATCTGTGCAGCCTGGGAAAAGATAAGCAAGAAGAAAGGACAGAACCAGGGGAAAACAAGCAGCATCAGCACAGAGCACAGTTCACCACAAAGAGCAAAACAACTAAATGAATATCAGCAGCACCTTTGTGCGTTCCTTCTTGGCCTTCTCCAGTTTGTCCATTTCAATCTTCTGGGCTTTAGCTAAGACCAGAAGTTACAAGAAGCATTAGAAACAGTAAAAATCCACAGTTCTCTCTCTCACTCACAGACTTCCCATCATAAACAATCAAAAATTTCAAATTGTGTATAGAAAATTAAACTACAGTATCAAGCATTACTGCATTAAATTAATGATTTAAGAGATGAAAACCAATTTAAATGAAAAACCAGTTTAAATGAAAAGGCTTTCCAGACTGATGAAGCGTCAATAACATTCATGCACATCCAATCAGAATGAAGTAGTTAAAGAGCAGCATGTGATGATTTCTCATTTATAAAGGGAGTGAAGACTCCAGTGCAGTTAATTAACTACTAAACACAAAGAGCTAAGTTAGGACCAAAAAAAAAAAAACAAAACAAACCCAAACCAAAAATAAACAACTTGCTGGAATTACCTAGGGCTTCATAATACGAATCCTCTGACCAGCCATGAGGATCAAACATGTCCTAAACAAAAAATACATACACAAACAAAAACCCCAGTCAGATTAGGGCTATTTCCCCATCTACACGAAGAGTAGTTCAAAAATGTTTTAGGTATTTCTGTTCACTGATGATATCTGTTTTTTCTTCTTGTATCCCAGTGACACAAAGATCACATCAGACCTCCTTTTATTGGACCACGTTCTGTTGTGGATGAAGAAACAGCTTTGAAATCAAAAGGATGCTGGGATAAGACTTGCATTTTCCTGCTGCTCCGCTTCTATCCCCACCAAGGAGTTTCACTTCAGCAGGTTTTGTTCAGAAACATTATAGAAAAGTTGGAGGCACTGAGCCTCAGTATCACATAAAAACACTCAGAAAATCAGACTAATGTTCCCCCACAGGATCTCTAAACAAGCAGACTCAGAAAAGCCTGAGGTAAGGACCTTACACCCTGCTCTATTTTACCCACTTCTTTGCCAGTCGGAAGTACTGCACCTCACCTTTGGGTAATTTGTACCGAGTTCGTCAATTGAGCAGAACTGGATCAGCTTTTCATAGATGCTGCAAAGGGAAGACAGGAGTTCAGAAGAGAGCCAGTTAGCTAGAAGTAAATGCAAGGATTTCAGATTTGTTAGCGGAATGAGGACCTCGCCTCTTCACCCTACAAGAGTAAAATCAGACCCTGGGAAGCGACACTTGCTGCGACGGATGTGGCAGGTCAGTAACCACATCATTTCCTACTTCCCCCACATTAACCTCCCAGTTCCCATAACAGATGCATCTTCTAAAATACTTCACCCAAAGCCGTACAAGTAAAATCTAACCAAAATACCGCTCTAGCTGTTGCCTCACAGAACACAGAGGAGTTTTACTGTTTCAATTACAATCAAATCATGTCTTCCTCATTTTTGTAAGCAGTAGTACTTCTCACTCAGGATCCTGTTTCTACAGCTCCAACAAAGCAGAAATTTGCTCTGTGGTGCTTTGGTCACACAGGAGAACATGGTGGCTCACCTGGGGTTTCGGAACTCCTTTTTCCTCTGAATGATGTAGTTCATATCCATGCCCTCTTTTATTTTCCTCTCATACAGCTTTTGAATTTTATCCTACGGAAGAAAGATTACAAGGTGAGCACACCAGCTGACTATCAAAAATGGACATGTGGAAACAAGCCAAGTGAACCAGTGACCTCCTTGCAAGGAGCAAGGATTCCACCTCTCTGCTGGGGCCAGATTCGTACCAACACCTCCTTTAAGGTCTGGAAGTATCTGTCTGGAGGGGTTCCGCTCTTTGCACTTCCTGAAGGCTGGATAAGTCACTTCATGTCGTCCTCCACACGGACAGTCAACTTGACTACAGAACTGACTCCTCTCTAAGGGTTTGCCAATGTCTGAGTAAAAGAGGATTGTTAAGAGCTGATATGAAATCCTATTTAATCAATCTTACAAGAAAAGCTTTTTAAGATAAATTTTCACCAGGCCCTAACAAAACTGTGTTCTCTTTTCTCCGCTCCTTGTGGAGGCAGCAATACGGTTTACAAAGTCCACAAACAGGGAACTACTCAGTCACCTTTACAATAAGAAATATTCCCTTTGGCAGAGTTCAAGATACAGTTTATTAGAGGAAGAATCTGACAAAAGGAAAGAGTAAATCAACAGCGAAAAGCCCAGAACATTTTGCATCTCTAAAGAACAATCCCGTCTCCCTGCTCAAAGCACTCTAAGATGTGGTTTGACCTGCTAACGGAGGACAAGTTCTCCTTTGATTTAACATAGCAAACTGCTGTCAAAGGAGAAGAAAAATCTGCTTTATTCTGTCTGCTTTCTCTAGGTCTGTGCATTCCTCAGATCTAACGCACTAAGTCACTGATGTCAGTAAAATCCTCCTGCAGCACAAGAGGAGGAATGGGTGTGCCCAGGTACACTGCAAGGAGACGAAAGCGTGATCTGGAGGGTGAGTCAGTCTGAATCACCACTGCACATTCGTAGCTTACTTATGGAGCATTCCAGAAGTGACTCTTTACTTGTATTTCTCCTGGGCAGGTAACTGCAGCTAAAGCTCAAATGGGTGGTAGGAAACAGCAGGCTCTGCACTTTCATTTGCCTTCCATCAGGAGGAGGAGAACAGAGCAGAAGGTTATTGCAAAGTTGGTTACTGCAATTATTTGGGTGTGCACCAGAAAAAAAATGCATTTGTTTACTTTTGCTGCCTCTAAGCTACTAGCCTTCCCTCCAAATGTTTATCATCTAGAGATATGTAGGTGGAAAAGGAATCCAGTCAATGCTGCCTCAACTATTCCAGTTAGGGGATTCTTGGGCCTGGATAGAAAAACAATGATTTGTTCTTTCCTACAGAGCTGAATTTGCTGAGGTAAGAGGATAGCAGCCTTCACAGTAAACACTGCTTCTGTGTGGAACCAAGAGGCATTTTGAAGCATACATGACCCACAGAGGCTGGAAAACAGCTTTAAACTACTTTGAGATTTCTAGACTAGAACTGCTGTAAAGTCTACAGCATTAGCACAGTGAATTCATAAACTCAGCATGGTAAAAAACAAGCAAACAAACAACTTTAATGCTGGATTTCTGATTTGTACAAAAATACCAAGTGGAAGTCCCAAATATACCCTCCCCTGACTGAACTGTAAGCCTTTTAAAAAAAAAAAAAAAATCAATAAAAAGTGGACTTCATACCAACCTGCAAGTGGTTAGAACATCTGCCAGGAGGCTCAGGAGGGATTTTGATCTCATCTGGAGACATGTTTCGCACTCTCTCTGAAAAAGAAGCTGCAGAGAACAAACCGGGCCTGAGTTCTGGCAATAATGAAAGAAATTTAAGCCATGCAAGTCATTAAATTTGTTTTATGTCCTTGCTAGTGCTACACTACCATCGAGAACCATTACGTAAAGGCAACAGGTGAATGCTGCCAACTGGTACTTGCGGTGTATTCAAAGTGCCAAACAAGAAGGAACTAACCTAAGGGTTAGATCTTCAGAAGAGGGATGTGATGCTGCCTTTATCGACATCTACCCTATACTGGTGGTTCTGCGTGTCATACCCACGCTTAAAGCTTGACTTTCAGCAGTCTCTTCACTCCAGAATGGAAATGTGAAAAGCTCTGCTACTCCAGCTGCAACTGTTGACAAGATCCTCAAAGGCAAAGGATCTTCAGAGGAAAAAGGTCAATTTGTGGAACCTCTCTCTGAACCCCTGCACTGTGCACCACACGCTGAGTCCTCCACCACTCCAGGTCTTCCACATGCGTTGCAAAGTCTTGCTCTGAATAGCTCAGATCATCCAGAGACTTTGACAAAACTTATGCCAGGATACTCCCTCTGAGAGCATCAGACTGTGTGTGTGGAGGATCACAGGATGGATCTGAAGCAGCCTAGACTCATCGTCATTTGCGGGGAGGCTATCACTTGGGGTCCTATTTATTTCCAGACCTACCTACAGGAACCAAAATGGTTCAAGAAGGGAAGAACCCTTCCCAAGGCTGTCAGGAATTAACCACGAGCAATTACACCTCACCCCGAAGTTAACGTTTCCTTAACGGGCACTTTGATCTTTGCTTAGTCAGACAGTTGCTAGAGAGAACAACTCGTTCTGCAGGACGGAGACCAGGCCAGTACAGATGTCAGATTTTTTATAGCTTTTGTATTGGGATATACTATTAGAGTACCCGATTACCCTACAAAAATTAGTTTACAGAGTTATCAGCAACAGCAACTGCCATGTTTCCCCCTATTGCTTCCTACTCTCCCACTATTAGGGGAAACCCATGCAGCTTTCTTAGAGCAGAAATCTGCAACACATTTAAGCAGTTGGGATTGTTTCCAACCATAATTTGTAAAGGGAAAACATCCCAGAGTTGTTGTCCGTAGTGGATAAAAGAGACCTGACACCGGCACAGACATCAGCCAGGCCACTCACATTTGCAGCCCCTCAATTAGACATTCCCCAAAGCTGCCCAAACCGCAGCTCCAGCACGCTCAGGTTCAGCTCCTCTGACTAAAGCCCAGAAGGGCCCAAAGGACAGGCACCAGCGTTCGAGCCCTGCGTGCTCTCCTGCCCTCCAGCACAGAGCATCAGGCGGCTGAGGTTACAGATAATCGACACCACACAGGTTCAGTGCTACTGCAGTTTCCACTTCTTTTGTCAAAACACCAAGCGCTAAGGACAGTCACCCTTTGGAGACGCGAAGCTGGCAGGCGACCGCTCGTCCTGTTTGATCAAGATGCTGCTGAGGGTTAAACTCTTCAGCAGTTGCTAGCAATGAACAAAAAGAGTCCTTTGGCATTTACTGAGAGGGTGCCTCTGTGGAAGAAGGAAAGCTTGCCAGAGCCCCTACAGAAAGGCAGGCAAACTGGAGCTCCCTGACAACAAGGCAGACGTTTGTTATAGGTTACAGCTGCTGGTGGGATGAGGAAGCCTCTAGTTTAATTAGAGTTTCAGGAACTCAGAGAGACAGTAACAAATAGACTGAGGAGTTCATAATAGAAGGCACACCAGGCTTTCCGGAAAAGGTGAAAGCTGATTAATGGCTTAAGAGAGTCACAGCATCAGCTGAAACATTTTAAAAAAAAAAAACAAACACACCAAACCCAGACCATAAGACAAAAAAAGGGATTAAAAATATAAAAAAACCCCCAACAATTCAAGCCTAGCTCCAAGTTACACACCCCACAGGCTTCTTATATGCAGGTCATCAGAAGAGGTACAGAGAAATCAAACACTTACAGGAAGGGGGACTGTGGGCTCATAAAAAGTCAAGAACTATGGGCAAGAACCCTGTCTAGCATCAAGGAAGTCATTAAATCATAAAAATACATTCAGGAATCCATTCAAAGTTGCTCTGAAACAGAAATAGCATCGGAGGAGGAACAAGAGCCCCCAATGAGACAATGTATTTTGACCCATGACTTTCCAGGTTTTGGTGTTCATTTGCTTTTTTCTTTGAGCCGTGCAAAGACACTTATTTATCAACATGACGCTGGTGGAGGAAGGCATCTCTTAACATCTTACAAGGAACGGGAACTGAGACACCGCAGCCATTGGCTGTGTGCAGCTGAGTCAGCAGCGAGGCTACGTGCACCCTCTTCCACCTCAACGTGAGCACAGACAAACATTCATCATTACTCAGTTATTTCACCACATTGAGGCCAGTCTGAGATACCACATCTAGGAAAAAAGGATGAGTTTAACCCCTTCAGGCTTATTTTACAGTAAGGAAGCACAAGTTATCCATGCCCTCGAGCAGTCCTCAATTTTCTCCCCAGACAGACAGCAGAATAGCCGATTTCATATTTTTTTTTTTCCCTAGAGGAAGGGACAGCTGGGATTATTATTCAAATCCTGGAAGCTGCACATATGGTCACAAGCTCCTATAGAAAAAAGCTTGAGGTTTTCAAAGCCCCAAGCACAGCTCTGCACGGCCTGTACAGCGTAAATGCGGACAGACAGCTAACAGCAAGGCGTGTCCTCACAGGATACATCCCACTGCTCGGTGCATCCTGTTATTTCTGCCAAGATCAAAGCTTTACTTTTACGTGAGTCACAGGCAGTGACACCGGCTGCAGTCTCTAACTGGGCTTGGGATTTGCTGGCTCCCAGCCTAGAGGATCTCCATGGGGGGACCTCAGGAAGTTGGCTGTTGGCACGATTAATCACTACAGGCACACCCAGATTCTGGCTCACCATAAGTAAACATCTTCCCCTAATCACATTCACAGTCCAGGTAAAGAACTAAGGCTGTAAAGCAGATCCCACGACTCAGGCGGTGGCTCAAGAAAGTGGCAGCCAATGCACTGCCAGGTCTGCAACTCAAGGACATGGCCACCAGTGCTTAATCTGTATATTCTCCTTCCGTAAGCTGACCTAAAAGTTAAACATTTCATCAGCACAACCACAAGGTGCTTGCAGAGATGCTCAGCTGCTCCCAGGATCTCCGCAGGAGAGTAAAGCCAACCATCAGGGTGCACCTTGCAAAGATTCAGCATCTCAGTAGGCAGTGGGGGGTGTTTGCTAGTGAGATCTTAGTTAGGCAAATAATTAAATGAAAACTCTGTATTTGATCTGCTTTAGTTTCAGAAAGATGGGTTATTTGGCCACTAATGCCTTGACCACCACTCTTCAGAGAGCACAAACACATACTGCGGAGCGGGAGAGAAACCGCTGCAGCACGACCTGTGCCCTCAGCTCCCTGCAGAAGGGAATGGACGGGGCGTGCACGGGAGCTTTGTTTCCTACGGATGGGCAGGTATATTTTCCTAGTGCAGAGAACACCAGAAGAGTAGAGAGCATCGGAATCGAGAGCTGGCTGTACCTGAACAGAGTGAGGTGGGGACCATCTGAGGTTTGGTAATGCATCTTGCCCGAGTGCTCTCAGCGACCAACAGGGCTCCCCAGGTGGGATTAAGAACTCCCGTCTCTTTCTGGGTTCATTTGTGTGCTGCATTTCAGCACTCACAGCAGAGCACAAGCAGGATCAGGTGCCCATTGGCCTATAAAGGTCACACTATGCAAAAAGACCTGGGAAGGGTGATCAGAGGGACATGGTTTTTCCCTGGAGACATGCAAACCGGTGGTGCCTGGTCTCTAAAACTGCATTCTTTGGCACTCTAATCAAGTCTGCTTGGCATAAACCAGGGTGTGTGGGTTTCTGATTTCCTGGCACCAGAACAGCCAAATCAGAGAGAAGAACGGGAGGCAACAACATGCCAGTGAGTCACCCATCCATGGTCGGACACTAGTTCCCTTTCTGCTCTGTGGCCTGAGAAATGCAGAAAGCGACCTGCAACTCAGCCATGTTGTCTGCTCTTATGAACACCGACTTTGTGCTCGGATATCTTCAGGGTTAGAGAGAACGTTTCTTACAGCCCAAGAGGTAAACAACCATGCTGCAGAGAACTTCAGGGCAAGGAAACACATCCTAAAAGTATTACTTTGCCAGGCCACAGGAAACTGAAAATGCAACATCCACCAGCACCACGTACTCTTCGGAGGGGTACAAAAACCCCAGAAGGACAACACTGATGCACAAATCTATCAAAGTTAAGTTCCACACACCAAAACCTGCCCTCCCATTCTTTCAGGCTTTGATTATGTGATCACTGCTTCAGTGTAAATCAGGACAACTATGTCCTTCCCAGCTGCTCTTCCCTGCTGTTGTCTTTGTGCCAACTCTAGTGCTCGCTAACCAGCTCAGGGAACGGATCCAGCTGAAAGCCTCAGAGGGGAAAGGAAAAGAAAAAAAAAAAGAAAATAAAAAAGGGAAAGAAAAAGAGCAGTGAAGGTAGATCTCAGCTGGCTCCACCTCCCAGAGCAGTTCAAGGCACACAAATCTTAGCATGTGTCTGGGGGAGGTAAAACAGAAACATTACTTTTGGCAGGATCCTACATTCATGCTGTACTTAAGCAACTGCATAACCGTGCACTTTAACCAAAGGTGACGCTGAACAACGTAAGGTTATCTTCTGAGAAGGGCAGGCCCACGAACTTTTAATGCAAAAAGCAGCTATGGGAAACTATCTAAGGAAGACTTTGACTACCACATACTGGTATTAAACAAAACTTGAGATGTCCAGATTGGAGAAGTTACTTGCTTTGTGTCAGAAAATTCTGCTTTTTTTCCACTCAAGAATTCGAACTCTAATCATCCACGATCTCAGAAAAGGAGTGCTTCTCACATTACACCAACCATAGGGCTCTTGTAACAGTTCCTTTTAAACTAGATAAAACCCAGTCTAATGAAAAAGACCTACAGAATCCAGCAAAGCAAGTATGCCTACATTTAGTAACCTCGTTCTGCACAAAGTTAGCCTACACACTGCTCTGCGCGTGCTACTACCCTGAAAGAATATTAAAGATAAATTGTAATCTTAATTCAGGTCTCAGACTCACCAACAATGTCCACTCAGGAGTGTGTGACACTAGTAAGCGCCCTCTGTGCAGCTTTTAAGTCTGCATCCAAGTCTGGGCTACCATGACACAAATGATACTCAATCTCCCAAAAGAGGACTTGGCTGAAAATACTCCAGGGACAAGACATTGCAGGCAATAACTGGAACTATAGCATTGTCAGGACAGCGTGAAGATGCTTTTTACAAAGGAGGAGTCTAGAAGGTCTAGTTTGAAGAAAAACATCTAAGTCAATAAATAGTTCTGAGTAAACTTACCTACTAACTCCTGAGGATCTCTCTTCTCCAGTTCTGAGAACTCCTGGAAGGGAGAAGAAACAGATTTTAGTTAAGGTATGCTTCCAATCTAAAAAGTTAGTGTCCACTTGTTCAGAAATTTACACATTACTTCTGAGACAAAAGAATAAAAATTAAGAACGAAATGCAAGTTACTAGATAATAGGGCAATGTTTGCACCACAAAAGTCAAAGCCTAACAGGATACTCTGGTTCCTTTCAAAGCTTGAATCCAAATTTAATGAAAGAATTCAGGCTTTGTTTCTGTGAGTCCTGGACACTCAGCTACTCCCAAATTCCATAAAAACCGCTGTACTCTAAGCCTTTCATGAAAACAGATCAAACCACAGATGTTTCATTTTTGGTGACTGACCCTTGGCACCAGCCAAGACTCGACGCTTTAGAGCACAGCGGGCTAAAAATACAAGCTGGATCCAGCTCACAGAAAACTCCTTTAGCCCTGGGCTTGCCCACCACGGGCCTGCACCACTTGGAGCCCTTTCAGCAGGGCCAGAGGGTTGCATGGCCCAGGGTAACGTGAAAGCAGCTGAAACGCTCCCAGGGCCGGCAGCAGAACACGCCAAATTGGGAGCGGCAGCCGAGGGGCCCCTGTGCAGGCACCCAGCGTCCTGTGGGATCCCGGGCTGCAGAGGTTTGTTTGCCAGTTGTGCCGTGGTGCCAGACTTCACTTGTGTAACTTTGCCGTAACAAAACAAAATGCCAGGGAGCGTGGCGGTGCCGCAGATCCCCTATTCCCATTTTGGAAGAACGCTCCCACTGCCAACTCTCTGCTGGCTGCTCCATTCCAGGACTGACGGAGCCGATCTGCTCTACCAGAAACTCCAGGGCAATCTCCACTGTCTTGTAATGTTCTGTTTAAAGACCTTCTCCACACAGCTAATCCCTCCTTAGTTACAGAAATTAAGGCCGCTTCAGTTGCGGGAGCGCAGCAGATGTTTGCACCAGAGTCTACGGAGCAGTTATGTAGGATAAGACACTCTTGAATATTCTTTCACCACATTGAGACCAACATTCGAATATTTCGGTGCTTCTGAGAGACCCCAAGCGAGTCACAAGCGATATCAAGTTCGGCACAATTAGAGTTTCTGAAAGGGTATCAGCTGTATCCCAGCACTGCCCTCTCCCCGCTGCCTCCCTCCCAAAGACCTTTTGTGACTCACTGGACTGTGCGTCCAAAATTCCTCAGTGCCTCCGAACACTGCCGCTATTCATTCCACCTGACACAGACATAACGCTGCCTCCTCGCTGCTTAGTAACCACTCTCTGAACCCCCTCCTCGACTCCATTTCCAGCCAGGTGAGAGATGCACAAGGTGAGGAGAACGCAGCAAGGTCACCAAGGCAGATGTGGGAACAGGCTGTGCCAAACTCACTGTGAAAACTCACCAATTTCCAGAGAAGCCAAAGCCCTCTGGAAGCAGAAAAACAAATTCTTTGTGTGGCCCTAACTGCTAGAGGACACTTTTTATAGCCATTTGTGAAGGGGAAGAAAAAAAACAAAAAGGGAAAAAAAAAAAGGAAAAAAGCTGTTTCTCCGAAAGTATGCTTGGATCACAAAACCACAAGGCTACAGCTATTTTAGGGGGAAAAAAAAAAAAAAAAATACATGAAGGAACCTGCATCTTTTCTCTGGCCAGCTGGAGAGCCCCAGGCCCCTCTGTGAGAAGGACTGCAGGGTCACAGCTCCAGGTCCTCTAAGCTCCTGCACTTGGTGTAGTGCACTAACATCGCTTCTCCTGGGGTCTTCAGAAAGAACAGCACAAGCAGGGGAAAAAAAAAAGAAAAAAGAAAAAAACCAGAAGTGTGATATTTCCCAGCAGAAAACATGCCAAAAGAAGGAGCTCCCTTTGGCGAGAGCACTGGACAGGAATCCAGGGAATTCAGGCTGTGTTCTCCACACACCCACGCCGAAGCAGCACTGACAGGGTGAGCCCCAGTTTGCCACCAGAGAGCTGGGGTCAGTTCTGGGAGGACCAACTCAGGTGAGCGTGCAAATGTTGCACGGAGGCTACAGACACAGGGTCAGCGTGTGGCACACGGCCGCTCATTAGGCAGGAGCTGCGGTCAGAGGCTGCTTTATTCCCTTTAGGGGGAGAACCATGCTTGACAGGTAATGAGAAGTACTTCTTCCTGTAGTTTGAAACAACAAGGAAATGTTTGTTGAGGTAAAAGGAGGGAACTGCTTTTTTCCCAGCCTCCACTGAATTGCATCCTGCACTCTTATCTGTTCAAAGTTTTGTTAAGTGGGCTGTGAGGGAAGAGGAAAAGACAGGCTAGTCCTTGAGCGCCTCATGATCCCTCCTCTTACCCAGCACTGTATTTATTATTCCATTATCACTCCCATCTTCTGCCCAGTTGTAGTCCAGGAACCCAAAGGAAAGGAAAAAAACCACCCAAATGACCAATATTGTTAAGCAGGCACTTATGCAACCCAGTGGCACAGTCAAATTCAGGTACTTTACGTATGTGCTAAATGCCTCCAAGCAGGCTGCCCTCTTCTCTGGCAAGTCCGCAGGGTTACAAGGGTCCCTGCTACACTTCTGAACTTTTCAGAAGCCCATTTTCACAGCTCCTGGAGCTGTCTGGAGCCGGCACCAAGCATAAGCACACAGTTCTCAGGAAACAAACCAACCTCTCGTCTTAGACAAATCTCTCTAAAATGTCCAATGTGGTAAACAGTATGTTTGCTTTCACCAGGAGCAAGTTTGTTCTCTCCTTTGCATCCTTTAATCCCAGAGCCACCGTCCCAAGTCTGCCCCATCTATCAGAGGCCACGAAGCACCGGTCCTACCAGGCCAGCACTCGGTATTTTCCTGGCCCGATCGCCCACACCCCTTTCACCACAGCCGCTCCAGCAAGTCTGGTCTCCCCATCCTCAAGCCAGAGCCAAGACATCAGAAAGCCCAGAGCTACACCAGGCAGAAGAAAGTAAGTTCACTAACATGTCAGAGCCACACCTCGGTGCCCAGAGGACATGAATTCTGCTTACTGCTGAATTACTGCGGCACCTACACCCACCGCTCCATCGTTAACGAGCTGAAGACATCAACACAGCTTCTCATTAAGTCCGACGGCTTTCAAGCCTCTTCAATGCCTTCAGAAAACAAAGGGATGACCGACCCCTCCTACAGTGCTTGTTCGTATTTGCTCACTTTAACAACACTACGGCAAGGCAAGTATCAACAACCTGACCAAGGCCGCACAGTTTGGCAGATTTAACAAGTCTTGTTCAAACCTCTGTGTATCTACTAAAGATCCAGAACTTACGGACAGTCTCCAAACCTTCAGCGGAGCAATCGCCTACCAAGATCGGTCCTACACTTCCTTGGGCTAATTTAAGTGTGGACACATTGAACACAGTAGTGAACTGATTAGAAAAGACAACATGTTAAAAAAATGCTAAAAAAATGCTGCAGATCAAATCTAATATAAAGTTACACGAAATGCAGAATCACCAAGTGGAGAAACAAGGGAAATTAATAGCGCACAGTCGCTACCTTTTTGTTGTGAAAGGGAAGAAATACTTACACATGGAGGAGAGATTTCTAAAGGAATTCCGAGGCATTTAAACAATGGGAATATTGGCAAATAACTGAATTTTAAGTAGGGAAGCTGCCTAAATCCATTCAGGGAAAGGTGAGCTTTTTGTAGATCACTACATCATCAAAACCCATCGTGCAGGCATCAGTATCTCACACGAGGAGCACAAAATCAAGCAGGCGAGTGGTTTAAGCAGGGGGGATATTATGCCAAATCTCTCTGACAGAGTAAATATACGAAAGCTATTAGAGCCTTTGAGTATCCTGGAGCTCTAGGCATTGTTTACGGGATTCATTTCCATTGGGATTCTGATCACTTCCAAAAAATAACACGGTTACGGCTTCGCTAGTGGCACCTCCTGATACTGGACAGCTTTCACAAGACTGAAAGATTGTATGGGAGCACCCCTGAATGTACTTTTGCAGCCAGTCTTTCACTGCTTGCACATCAGCCTGGACCCATCAGTTATGCTGAAAATTCTCTCTACCATCAAGGAACTACAGAATTCAGGCAAAACATGTGTCTTGTGCTCATTTTTCTCTCTAGTTCTATCCCATTTGGTATTACATGATGACTTCTAAAAACGGCTAGATTGATTTAAAAAATAAAAAAATAATTAAAAAAAAAAACAGTAATGTACTTTGCTCCTCTTGTGCACTTAGCAAGTTGATTTTCTGGCCGCTACCTACTTTGCAGCCTAGGACTCACAAAATCAACTGCTGAAAGGCCTAAAGCCAGACGGCTTTGCTCCAACAGACCCACTGAAAGGAGTCAGGGGATGCCGTGGTGGTTCAGAGCCAAGTTGGGAAAGGACTGGAAGATGGCAAGACAAGCTGGAGACAAACTCTGCTGCCCTGATCTGGAAACTAACAAAGAATAGCCTCTGAATAGCATAAACTGCCACCAACAAAGTATTTTTAAAAAGTAAAAAAAAAAGAAATTCTGTTTAATATCTAACTGGACCACCAACATAAGTCACAATTTTTGTGCTTCTAAGAGCAATTTCTGCACATCAGCCCCCTGATAGCAGAACACAGTTATTCTATTATTATTCCTATATGCATTCAGGAACAGGTTTTCCATTTTTTCTACTCCCCCAAGACAAAGGCTTTCTTCATGCCCTGGGCACGACTACACTGCCTGCAAGAGCCTGACTGACAGCAACCCAGCCAGACGGTTCATTTTTCATACATCGTATCTGCTTAAAGAGGAGAAAACTGACGGGTGTATGTGTGTGTACACACACATACGGAAAGTGCTGCATTTTACCTTAAAATTTCAGCTTGCTGAGGTGAAATACAGACCAACCTTTCAGTTGTAGAGTGTTCCCATTTGGTTACATAAAAAACAGTCTCTGCTCAGGTTCCATGGAAAATAAAAACAACCAAACACAATCCTCACAGTGTGGAACAGAGATTAAAGGAAGGAAGCAAAAACAATATGAATCTGAGACTGATGAATTAAAG